AACCGAGGGTTGTACGAGCCCTTGGTGATGTTCTTCGGTCTCCCCAACTCCCCCGCGACCTTCCAGGCGATGATGAATGAGATCTTCCACGATCTCATCGTCGGCGGCAAAATCCTTGTGTACCTAGACGATATACTCATCTTCTCCACCAACAAGGAGGAGCATGAAAAGGTCACACGCGAGGTTCTGCGCCGCCTTCAGGACAATGATCTGTTCCTGAAGCCTGAGAAGTGCGAATGGGATGTTCCCAAGGTCGACTACGTCGGCTATGTGTTCGGTGGCGATGAGGTGGCGATGGATCCCGCGAAGCTCAAAGGAATTAATGAATGGCCGGTACCCCGGAACAAGAAAGATGTTCAGAAGTTCCGGGGGTTCTCCAACTTCTACTGCCGCTTCATTAAGGACTTCACTAAAATCTCGCGACCACTTGACCGGCTCACAGGGAATGACCCATGGCATTGGGGCGAAGAAGAGCAGCATGCCTTTGATAAGCTCAAGCGGCTCTTCGCGACGACTCCAGTCTTGGCGCTATACGACCCTAACCGGGAAACGTGCATTGAGGTTGATGCCTCAGGCTACGCCATGGGCGGCGTATTGATGCAGAAGCAGGACAATGGCAAATGGCACCCTATCGCCTTCAGATCTCACGCTATGGACCCTGCCCAGCGTAACTACGAGATCTACAATAAGGAGATGCTCGCAATTATTGAGGCACTAGACAATTGGCGCCACTATCTCGAGGGGTTACCCAATCAGTTCGAGATCGTAACCGATCACAAGAACCTCGAATACTGGCGCACCTCACAGCATCTCACGTGTCGTCAAGCACGATGGTCGCTGTTCCTGGCGAAGGCACTGGCTGAAAGTTGAGACCACCAAAGACAGCGGCATTGAGGCGGCGAGGGGCGTTTGGGTTCTTCCGGTGGAAGTCGGCTATGAGGGCCGGCGCATTAGCGACGTTGCACGCCGGTTCCCATGACGTATGCGAGTCGTCATAACCCTTCCACTTGACGAGGTACTGCAGCTGACGCCGGAAGATCCTCGAATCCTTGATCCGCTCAACTTTGTACTCCTCATCGCCCTCAACCTCGATCGCAGGCGGCTCCTCCGGCTCCCGGCCCGGGATATCGCTACGCGTGTACTTGCTAAGCAAGGAGACATGGAATACCGGGTGCACCGGCACCGACTTCAGCAGGACTAATTCATAATCCAAGTCTCCAAGCTTTCGCCGCACGGCATAAGGCCCAAGGCGCTTGGGACTGAGCTTCTTGCTCGGCTGTTTCAGCTTAAGGTTCCGAGCGTCAAGCCAGACCTTGTCCCCCGGCGCGAAGACTGGTGCCTCCTGCACGTGCTTGTCGTAGTACACCTTCATGCGCTCGGCTGATAGCTCAAGCGCAGAGCGCGTATCATCCCTGATCTCCTTCAAGATCTTGAGCCGATCAGCGGCCGCAGGCATCGCAGACATCGGGTTGATCCGAACCTGGATCTCAGGATTGTACCCTTGATGCAGGTAGAAAGGGGAGTGCCCGGTCGCAGAGTGAACTCGGTTGTTTAGTGCGAATTCCGCGAGCGGCAACTGCTTCGCCCAATCATCCTGCCTGTGGCTTGTGAAAGCACGCAGGTACTGCTTGATCTCCTGATTCCAGCGCTCAGTCTGGCCGTCCGTCTGAGGATGAAACGCTGTAGACAGCGCCGGCTCGATCCCTAGTCCCTTGTACACCGCATGGAGATATTTCGAAGCGAACTGGGGACCTCGGTCTGATATGACCTTGGCCGGGGCCCCATGATGCTTGAACACATCGCGGATGTACAGGTCTGCCACACCTTCTGCCATCAGGGTCTCATGACAGGCCGAGAAGTGGACCTGCTTGGTAAAGCGGTCGGCGGTGACCAGGATCGAGTCGAACCCATCAGACTTTGGCAAGCCGACGATCATATCAGTCGTGATGATCTGCCACGGGCGCTCGGGGATCTCGTTTGGCTTCAGCAGACCCTGGGGCTTGGCTGGGAATGTCTTGGTACGGTTGCACACGTCACAGGTGCTTACGTACTCGTTGACAAATTTGGACATTCCTGGCCACCAGTAGTTCCGCGATACGAGCTCAAGGGTTTTGGCATGACCACCATGACCGGCGATCGGCGAGTCGTGGTGGATCTTGACTATATCCCGCCGGAGCTCTGCGTTCTTTGGGACATACACACACCCGCAGAATAGCAGAAGCCCTTGTTCGGCATTCCACTCCTCAAAACCCCTTTGCAGCCGGGGCGGCCCGAGGTCCTGCACCTTTTCAAGTGCCTCGGCCACCTCCCGATCCTTCTCCGAACATTCCCTGATGCGCTTCAGAAGTGACTGATCAGCTGTCACTGAGGCATGACCGCGCCTGGCAGAGGCAATGCGGAAGCGCTCTGGCTTGAGAACTACCTGATCGGTGTTATCGTCCTCATCACCAATCTGATGGTCTGATCGACGTGACAGGGCATCAGCCTTTCCATTGGACGTCCCGGCCTTGTGCGTGATGCGGAAGTCGAAGCGAGCCAGGAACAGCGACCATCGTGCTTGACGACACGTGAGATGCTGTGAGGTGCGCCAGTATTCGAGGTTCTTGTGATCGGTTATGATCTCGAACTGATTGGGTAACCCCTCGAGATAGTGGCGCCAATTGTCTAGTGCCTCAATAATTGCGAGCATCTCCTTATTGTAGATCTCGTAGTTACGCTGGGCAGGGTCCATAGCGTGAGATCTGAAGGCGATAGGGTGCCATTTGCCATTGTCCTGCTTCTGCATCAATACGCCGCCCATGGCGTAGCCTGAGGCATCAACCTCAATGCACGTTTCCTGGTTAGGGTCGTATAGCGCCAAGACTGGAGTCGTCGCGAAGAGCCGCTTGAGTTCATCAAAGGCGTGCTGCTCTTCTTCGCCCCAATGCTATGGGTCATTCCCTGTGAGCCGGTCAAGTGGTCGCGAGATCTTAGCGAAGTCTTTAATAAAGCGGCGGTAGAAATTGGAGAACCCCCGGAATTTCTGAACGTCCTTTTTGTTCCGGGGTACCGGCCACTCATTAATTCCTTTGAGCTTCGCGGGATCCATCGCCACCTCATCGCCACCGAACACATAGCCGACGTAGTCGACCTTGGGAACATCCCATTCGCACTTCTCAGGCTTCAGGAACAGATCATTGTCCTGAAGGCGGCGCAGAACCTCGCGTGTGACCTTTTCATGCTCCTCTTTGTTGGTGGAGAAGATGAGTATGTCATCCAGGCACACAAGGATCTTGCCGCTGATGATGAGATCGTGGAAGATTTCATTCATCATGGCCTGGAAGGTCGCGGGGGAATTAATGAGACCGAAGAACATCACCAGGGGTTCATACAGCCCCCGGTTGGTCACAAATGCCGCCTTCCACTCATCACCGGCCTTGATCCGGACGTTGTTGTACATTGTACCCCCATCGGACATCAAACTTCATGAAGAGCATGGCACCGCGGAGCTTGTCTACCATCTCGGCGATAAGCGGCAAAGGGTAGCGATTTTTGACAGTGATCGCGTTCAACCGGCAGTAGTCCTGTATGGGTCGAAGTGTCCCTTCCTTCTTTTTGATGAAGAAGAAGGGGGATGAGATAGGCGACTTCGATTCCCGTATGTAACCCTTCGCTAGCTGCTTCTTTAGGAACTTATCGAGTTCCTCCTGCTCATTGTTCGATAATGGGTACACCTTCGAATGAAATGTTGAGTAACCGGGCACAAGTTCGATCGCATGATCGTACGGCTTCCTTTCGGGTAGTCGTTCTGATGCTTCCTTGGAGAAGACATTCAGGAACTTGTGGTACTGTTTAGGTACCGACTCCTCAGCAGTCTTAACGACCTACTTCTTGATCTCCTCCTCAGCAAACAGCTGGGAGTACGTATGCCCAGCTGCGACAAACAGCTGAGGGGCGCCGGGAAGCGTGATGCCTTGCTCCCAGGCTTCGATCAAATCGGCCTCCTCCCACTCTACCTCCACCGGATCTTCTTTGGGTTCGAAGTCCGGGAGTACCTTACTCCGGCAGGCACCTATAACCGACCGTTTGGACTTCGGCGAATGTCTGCGCGCCGTGGGCCTGACCCCCGTATCACGCGCAGTCGCTGCTTGCTCCATTCGGCCAGTCCTCCTGGTACTGCACATTTCAGGACATCGCGACAATTTGAGGGAGCCCTTCTCCCAATCGATTTCAGGGTTGTGCTCGTGTAGCCAATCCAACCCGACGATCACATCTTCTGGACCGATGTCCGTGACCGTGAACACCGTCTTCTCGACGTGCTCTCCTATATGCATCTGTAGCACTGCTACCTCCGAGATGCTTCCGTCCTTGTTCAGGGTGCCATTGATATTGTACAACGGAATTGGTTCCTTTAACTTCCATGTTTGCACCTTATTCTCGATAATGAATTGCTTGTTGATGAACTTCGTGGTGGCTCCGCTGTCCACCATGGCGATTATGTCTCTGTGCCGTCTTTTCCCTTGAAGTCTTACTGGAATGTGAAAGTGCTGGGACCCCTGGTCCAACTCGTACACCATTGCAGAAGACAATACATTGTACTTGTTACATGATGACACTCGCGGCCCGACGCGTGCGGCACGAAGCGCGGACCGGATCAAAAACCCTCCTCCTTCATCACTCGATAGTGCTCGAGCTCCTCGCGCATCGACTTCACCTGTGCCATTAAGTCCGCCAGCTCCAATTGCTCGGATTTCGCTGAAGCGGCACTTATACTTGCCGAGGGTGATGTCGTGACGGGGGCGCTTGTCGCAGCCTGGGTGGAGCCCGAGGCGGCCATAGCCCGCGCATCGGCGCGTTTTGTGTAAGGTTTGTCCTTACAATTAGGGCACTCGAATCGTTGGTACCCTTGCTTCCCACAGCCGAAGCATGTGCCGGGGAAGTTGCCTTTTCCGACGGCCACATTGATGCTGGCCGAAGCTGCGTGTGACTGGGGTGCACCACCACGTGCCCCTCCGCGCCCTCGACCTCGGGCCGAGAAGAAGTTATTTAGCTCGGGCCGACGGGCCCGGCTGATGTCGAGGATTTGCTCGACCTCAGTGGCGCGCTTCTCAGCTGCTTGCCACGTGGTGAAGGTCTCGAGCTCGATTTTGCGGTAGACGCGGGAGGGGATGCCGCTCAGGTACTTGTCGCGTAGCTCCAGGTCCCCATACCCGGAGCGGTCTGCCGGACCTTTGAACAGCGCGGAGAATTCCGCAGTGGTGCGTTTTTCATGGACCGTCTTGTCCGCGCAGAGCTTCCCCAGTGTCGCGACTTGAGGTCAAGCGACAGGGAAATATCTAGAAGCGAGGGGCGTCCAACTGGTTCTCACCGAAGCGATGGTGAGCGAGGCTCAAACCTAAGGCTAGGGACAAGAATGTATTAGTTAGTAAGTAAAAGAAGTAAGTACAGGAAAGCTTACTGACCTAGGGACAAGAGGTCAAAACTGAGGTCCCTAGGGCAGCAGAGGCTGGTTTATATACATGGGAAGATTTAGGGCAGGCTGTGCGCACTGGTCCGTGCGCAGCTGGTCCGTGCACAGCATGCCGACGCGGCCCCGGGGGCCGGTGAGTCAGAGCGGCTGTGTCAGCGGGGCCCGAGCTGTGCCGTGCACTGCCGTCCTATCTAATCTAATCGTACAGTAGATAACGATGTGTCCATATCAGGCAGGTAGTACAGAGGTCGCGGGTTCGAGCCCGTGAAAAGGAAAAAATTAAAAAACGGCTAGGCGCCGTACCAACTCGTGACATTACCCCCCCCTCAACGGCGCATGACCTCATGCGAGGTGCCCTTGCCCATCTCCCACCCGGAGCGGCAGCGTGCTTCAGTCAGCGGCGAAGGCATTGGCTGAAAGTTGAGACCACCAAAGGTAGCAGCGTTGAGTCGACGAGGGGCGTTTGGATTCTTCCGGTGGAAGTCGGCTATGAGGGCCGGCGCATTGGCAACGTTGCGCGCCGGTTCCCATGACGTATGCGAGTCGTCATAACCCTTCCACTTGACGAGGTACTGCAGCTGACGCCGGAAGATCCTCGAATCCTTGATCCGCTCAACTTTGTACTCCTCATCGCCCTCAACCTCGATCGCGGGCGGCTCCTCCGGCTCCCGGCCCGGGATATCGCTACGCGTGTACTTGCTCAGCAAGGAGACATGGAACACCGGATGCACCGGCACCGACTTCGGCAGGACTAATTCATAATCCAAGTCTCCGAGCTTTCGCCGCACGGCATATGGCCCGAGGCGCTTGGGACTGAGCTTCTTGCTCGGCTGTTTCAGCTTAAGGTTCCGAGCGTCAAGCCAGACCTTGTCCCCCGGCGCGAAGACCGGTGCCTCCTGCACGTGCTTGTCGTAGTACACCTCCATGCGCTCGGCTGACAGCTCGAGCGCAGAGCGCGTATCATCGCGAATCTCCTTCAGGATCTTGAGCCGATCAGCGGCTGCAGGCATTGCCGACATCGGATTGATCCGCACGTGGATCTCAGGATTGTACCCTTGATGCAGGAAGAATGGGGAGTGCCCAGTCGCGGAGTGAACTCGGTTGTTTAGTGCGAATTCCGCGAGCGGCAACTGCTTTGCCCAATCATCCTGCCTATGGCTGGTGAAAGCACACAGGTACTGCTCGATCTCCTGATTCCAGCACTCAGTCTGGCCGTCTGTCTGAGGGTGGAATGCTGTGGACAGCGCCGGCTCGATTCCCAGCCCTTTGTACATCGCATGGAGATATCTCGAAGCGAACTGGGGACCTCGGTCTGATATGACCTTGGCCGGGGCCCCATGATGCTTGAACACATCGCGGATGTACAGATCTGCCGCACCTTCTGCCGTCAAGGTCTCATGACAGGCTGAAAAGTGGACCTGCTTTGTGAAGCGGTCGGCGGTGACCAGGATCGAATCGAACCCATCAGACTTCGGCAAGCCGACGATCATATCGGTCGTGATGATCTGCCACGGGCGCTCGGGGATCTCATTCGGCTTCAGCGGACCCTGGGGCTTGGCTGGGAATGTCTTGGTACGGTTGCACACATCGCAAGTGCTTACGTACTCATTGACAAATTTGGACATTCCCGGCCACCAGTAGTTCCACGATACGAGCTCAAGGGTTTTGGCACGACCGCCATGACCGGCGATCGGCGAGTCGTGGTGGATCTTGACTATATCCCGCCGGAGCTCTGCGTTCTTTGGGACGTACACACACCCGCGGAACAGCAGAAGCCCTTGTTCGGCATTCCACTCCTCAAAACCCCTTTGCAGCCGGGGCGGCCCGAGGTCCTGCACCTTTTCAAGTGCCTCGGCCACCTCCCGATCCTTCTCCGAACATTCCCGAATGCACTTCAGAAGCGACTGATCGGCCGTCACCGAGGCATGGCCGCGTCTGGCGGAGGCGATGCGGAAACGCTCCGGCTTGAGAACTACCTGATCGGTGTTATCGTCCTTATCGCCGATCTGATGGTCCGATCGTCGCGACAGGGCATCAGCCTTTCCATTCGACGTTCCGGCCTTGTGCGTGATGCGGAAGTCGAAGCGAGCCAGGAAGAGCGACCACCGCGCTTGACGACGCGTGAGATGCTGAGATGTACGCCAGTACTCGAGGTTCTTGTGATCGGTAACGATCTCGAACTGATTGGGCAACCCTTCGAGGTAGTGGCGCCAATCATCTAGCGCCTCAATGATGGCAAGCATCTCCTTATCGTAGATCTCGTAGTTCCGCTGTGCCGGATCCATCGCATGGGATCTGAAGGCAATAGGGTGCCATTTGCCATCATCCTGCTTCTGCATCAATACACCGCCGGTGGCGTACCCCGAGGCATCGACTTCAATGCGCGTTTCCCGATTAGGGTCGTACAGCGCTAAGACTGGAGTCGTCGCGAAGAGCCGTTTGAGCTCATCGAAGGCGTGCTGCTCTTCTTCGCCCCAATGCCATGGGTCATTCCCTGTGAGCCGGTCAAGTGGTCGCGAGATTTTAGTGAAGTCCTTAATGAAGCGGCAGTAGAAGTTGGAGAACCCCCGGAACTTCTGAACATCTTTCTTGTTCCGGGGTACCGGCCATTCATTAATTCCTTTGAGCTTCGCGGGATCCATCGCCACCTCATCGCCACCGAACACATAGCCGACGTAGTCGACCTTGGGAACATCCCATTCGCACTTCTCAGGCTTCAGGAACAGATCATTGTCCTGAAGGCGGCGCAGAACCTCGCGTGTGACCTTTTCATGCTCCTCCTTGTTGGTGGAGAAGATGAGTATATCGTCTAGGTACACAAGGATTTTGCCGCCGACGATGAGATCGTGGAAGATCTCATTCATCATCGCCTGGAAGGTCGCGGGGGAGTTGGGGAGACCGAAGAACATCACCAAGGGCTCGTACAACCCTCGGTTAGTCACAAACGCCGCCTTCCACTCGTCACCGGCTTTGATCCGGAC